GAAAATAAACCAAACAAAAGAAAAACTATGTTAAGAGAAATTATTTGAGAAAATCAAATGCAAGAAAACCTTACCTAAACAAGACAAGACATGTTAGGAAATATAATCCTAATAAGACTTACAAGAGAACAATTACTTGTTTTGCTTGTAACAAACCTGGACATTTATCTTCTGTCTGTCCAAACAGACAAAATTTATTTACCAGGAAATCTAATTTAGTTTCCACAATAAATGAAGATTTGGTAGAAATAACATATGATATTTCTAGTGAATCTGAAATTTGGAGTATTTGTTCCTTAGAAGGAATGGAAACTGAAGAAGTTGAAATTCAAGAAGATAATTTTCCAAACAATGGAATCCTTTTAGAAAAATTAAATAATTTTAATCTTTTCTAAATGGAAAATTGCATACATAATTGGAAATTTAAATCAGGAAGTGACAATATTATGTGTCACAAATGTAACTGGTATCCAGCTTTTAACAAAAGATGGAAGTGCCAGACATGTATGAAGCAAATTTGCTCAAATTGCATTAAAAAGCATTTTGAGATAGAAATTCCAAATTTAGAACAAACCAACACAATAAAAAATCCTGAAAATAAAATTGATCAATTAGAAACTAGAGTGACTAATTTAGAAAAAAGACTAGATATTGTGGAAGAAAAACTACATAAACTAATAATTTTGGTGGAAAAAGGGAAACAAATATCAGAAGAGAGAAATTTTAAATTCACCCAATTATCCCAAGAAGAACTAAACATTATCAACACAAAGGAAGCAGAAACCTGTACTGCTCCCATACCCTTAATTTGTAACACTGAAAAAATAATTCAAATTGTAATTCCTGGAAAAATAATAATACATGGATTAACATGTATTTTACCAATCTTAGTAGATTCAGGAGCAACCTCATCCACTATAGATTTGGGAATATTACCAGAAGAAATTAAACAAAAAATAGTTAAGGTACCACCTGTTTTCTCAACACAGTTTGATAGTACTAAAATTGCTATAGACTCACAATTAAAAAATTTACAAGTAAAGTTCCAAACCAATTGTAATAATTGGTCTGATACATATCACTGGCCCAAAATCTGGGTTAAAAATTTAAACAACCACAAAATTCCTATAATCATGGGATTAGACTTTATTCTTCACAACAATGGACAAATAATCATAAATAAAGATTATTTGACTATTAGTAAAAATTGCTCTTTAATACCTATAATTTCAAATTTCAAACCTAGAATCCTAGAACAAAAGAAATTTAAAAAATTAGAAGACTGCAAATGCATTAGCAGCCAAGAAAAGTGCAGTTGCAACTTTCTAAAAATTGAAGAAAATTCACAAGTCAAGGAAGAAATTCTTAAGAATCTAAATTTAAAAGAAGGGATTGAACTAAATCTACACTTAATAGATACAAATGATTTTAAAAGAAAATTAAAAAACAATGACTTAGACCAATTAATAAAAGAATTAGAAACAAAGAAATTATAGGAGAAAATCCTACTAAATTCTGGGAAAGAAACAAAACAGTTTGTAAATTAGAAATTATAAACCTAGACATCACAATAAAATCACCAAATTTTAAATATGGAAATTGGGAACAAGAAGAATTTAAAATGCATATTGAACAATTATTAAAATTAGGCATAATTAGAAAATCAAGTTCAAGACATAGAACTCATGCTTTTATTGTTCAAAAAGAAGCAGAAAAGAAAAGAGGTCAATCTAGAATGGTCTTTGATTATAGAAGACTTAATGACAATACTTATGAAGATGGGTATTGCATTCCAGATAAAGACACTCTAATTAACAAAATTCAGGGAAAAAATTGGTTTTCAAAATTTGATTTAAAATCTGGTTTTTGGCAAGTCAAAATGCATCCAGATAGTATAGAATGGACTGCATTTTCATGCACATTAGGACACTTTGAGTGGCTAGTAATGCCATTTGGATTGAAGAATGCACCGCAAATTTTTCAAAGAATGATGGATGAAATTTTTAAAGATTGTTACAATTTTACTTGTATTTACATTGATGACATTTTAGTCTTTTCAAAAACAGAAAATGAACACAAAGCACACTTATACACTATTTTTACAATTTTTGAAAAACATGGATTAATAATATCCAAAAAGAAAATGGAAATAGGAAAAAATTATATTTCCTTCCTAGGAGCTGAAATTGGAGAGGGAAGTATTAAATTACAACCCCACATCTCTAGAAAAATTTTGGAATTTCTTGACAAATTGGAAGAATTAAAACAATTACAATCCTTTTTAGGATTAGTAAATTATGTAAGACCTTATTTCCAAAATTTAGCAAAATTAACTACTCCATTATACAATAAAGCTCAAAGTAAAGGAGTGAGAAAATTTAATGACCAAGATATTAAAATTATCCAACAAATTAAGGAAAAGATTAAATTACTTGAACCCCTGGCATTACCCCTTGAATCAGACTATTTGATAATAGAAACTGATGGTAGTGAAATGGGTTGGGGAGGAATTTTGATTAAAAAACCAAATGAATTTGCTTTAAAATCCACAGAAAGAATTTGTAGATATACATCTGGAGTATTCAAAGAAAAAGGATATTTAACATCCTTGGATTTTGAATTACTGGCAATAATTTATGTACTTGAGAAATTCGCACTGTTTATTTTATCAAAAAAGCAAATTACTATCAGAACAGATTGCGAATCAATTGTTAAATTTGCAGATACTAAAAATGAAAGAAAATTAACTTCTAATAGATGGCTAAAATTTAGAGAATTTGTCCTTAATAGAGGATTTAAAATTAAATGGGAACATATTAAATGAAAAGATAATAAGATTTCAGATTTATTATTAAGAAAATTATTGTGTGACTAATCAATCTTTGTTGAGTTGTGCAGAAAATTTGAGACACTTAGCACAAAATTTGAGACTCTCAGCAGTAAATTTCAGACTTTGAACATGGAGAAAATTTTCACATTTGACAAGACGGAATTAAAGACATTTCCGGAGAAAAATCAATTTAAGACACCTCTTAGAAGCAGGCTTCATGACAAGGAGACATGTCTTCTGGACAATATTTGGAACTTGGCTACTGAAAGGCAAGCTAACCTGAAAAAGGTAGCTATTCTCAATGCCTTAGCAGAATATTTCCATTCTGGAAAACAATTTAAGAAAAAACCATATTCCTGTTATGTTTTATACAACGGCCCTAAGGCTGGAGTATATCTAAAATGGGAAGAAATGGTACCTTTAATTGAGGAAATTAAATTATTTCCTAAATTCGGAATACCTCTTTTTAAGGGATTTTTCGATATTCAGGAAGCAATTAACTCTGTTATTGAGAACTGCGGAGAAAATTCTCATATTTCTCCAAAAGTTCTTAAATATCAGAAATATTTGAAACATTTGGAGAATTTTGAGGATCTTGATTTCCTCAAAGAAATTTCAGACCCAGAAATTGACACATCATCTTCTGTTCAGAAGAATGAAATTTTGAAGCAGAATTTCATCAACAGCATGCACACATAAATTATGAAATAGGAGACTCCTACAGACATTCAACTCCTGTTTATCCCATAAATTACGACTCTGATAATTATGAAAATTACTACAGTGGAGCTGAAACTGAATAATTTAGCAATTTTGAAATGTCTTCAACTATCATTTTTTACACCTTAAATTTAATTTTCAACTCCTACACACATCCAAACTCTTCATCAAAATTTATTTTCGAACAAATAAATTCAAACAACATTTCTACTTTGTATTATTTCCTAACTAATTCAAAAGGGGGAATCGCACTTTTGGTCCCTCAATTAATGTCAATTCTGCAATGTCATCCCTAATTCCCAATTTGGACATAATTGGTCCCTCAATTATTCGTCCACTAAGCAGTTTTGGTCCTTCTGTGACTATGGCCGTTTGACACCGTTTAAATCAAGGGTAAGGGTGGAATTTCACACATCATTGGTTTTACTTAATCGTTCTCAGCCCGTTCCTCCGCCATTCTCAGCCATTTCCGCCACCACACATGAAGAACCCTAACCTCCGCCATTGACACCTTTCCACCACTTCAAATAGAATACACTATTAAGGACGCCATTCGCAATGTCTTCAAGCACTATCGGGTCAACACAATGGATGCCAGAAGTGTGATGTTGGTGCGGCGAGGTTGCTCCGGTAAAGATGTCATGGAGTACTGCGAATCCAGGGAAGAGATATAGAGCTTGTCCACATTATGGAGTAAGTTTACAAAACCATTATAATTAAATACCGGCCAGAAAAGTTACAAAATTTCAGTTAATTTGTGTTTGTTTGTTACACTTCCCATCAGGGCAACGGCAATTGTTGGTATTTTGAGTGGATTGACAACGATGTCTCCGAGCGTGTTTCCAGAGTCATTAGAGGGCTATTGAAAAGGTTGGATAAGAAGGAGATGGAAATCCAAGAGTTACAAACACTTATTGGAAAAGAAAATGGTGCGATGAAGAAGATGAAGTTGGAGTCTAAATTTTCATTTTTTTATGGGTTTGCACTTGGTATTGCAGTTGCCCTTGTTTGTGTGGGAATTGGGATGGAAACTAGTGAACAAAGTCCCAAGCTTTTCCAGTTGAAGTAGTATTTAGAAATTAGTGGTACTATGTAAGAATTGTTTTGAGGTTCAATTCCAGATTTGGTTGAGTTTAATGCTAAGCAGTTTTATGTAAGGAAATGAAACTTTTTTTAGTTGAATGGCAAGTATATTTTTATATTGAGATGAATATTAAGTATATTTGAATGGCAAGGGATTGTAACCAATTGTTAAGACCCAAAGCCACTGTCTAATTCTTAAATACAAACTGGAAAACTGCACACCAAAGTAGTAAAAAGTGTCTACTGGGAAAGTGCCTAACTGGCAACCAATTGTTAAGGCCAGACTGAACTAAATCTACTGACTAAAGGCCAAAGTATACAACAAAATAAACTGCCAAAGAGTAGACAAAAGCAATTCATTAACATGTTAAATTGAACCACCCTGTCAGATCAAAAGATCAAAGTTTACAAAAGATCAAAGTTTACCAAAAGATCAAAGATTACATAAGTAACCACTTCTACCAAAATAGACCAAAATAGACCAAAATGCATCAAAAGTTTCATAGTTTCATATTACTACAAAAATACACCAAAGTTCACATTCAGTTTTGTTTCTTCATTTGAGTAGCTTTTTTTTTTTTTCCTTGCCTCTCTCTGGACTGCATTAGCTTGTTGCAGGCTTGAGACTGTTACAAATTTTTTCCCTGCTCTTGTGATGACAGTTGGAGTAGCACTTCCACTTGGCTGTTGTGAAGAAATAAAGTGGGACAGTGGAGGGACTTGGCTCTGAACTAATTGTGATGGTTGAGATGTCATTACCTCCTGCAATTCCATAACAAACAAGGGTAAATTCAACTGACTGTCAAACTAAAAGTATTAAATGCTGATGGTGGTCATTAACTTACCATCTCATCAAGTACAAAAGTTGGCACTTGTGTCTCAACTGGGATATCCTCAAACTGGCCTTGAATGTGTACATCACCCTGTCCAACTACCACCTCATCCATCTCATGTACCTACAAATCAATAACATTAAAAAACAAGGCAGATTTATTTAAAAAACAAGGCAGTTTTATTTACAAAACTAATACCTGTGGTGGATTGTTTCGTTTGCAAGTTGCTTTATTATGTCCTTTTTGACCACAAACCCTGCACCTTTTGACTTCTCCAACTTTCCTTGTTCTTTGTGCAAGGCTGTCCTTCTTGGTTTCTTCAAAAGGGCTGATCTTTCTCTTTTTTTTAGGCCTCCCAGGTTGTGCCTTATATTTTGGGGGGAGTGGAGCTGGAAGATTGGTTTTGGGCCACAACTCAGAAGATGAGATTGGTAGTATTGCTGGCTCATATGCTCTGAAATAAGAGTCCACTGTATAGCAATTGTGTACATAGTCTTCTGGTCTTTCCCTTTGTTTTCTTATAGCTGCAATTGCATGACTACAAGGGATGCCTGTGAGATCCCACCTTCTACAGCTGCACTGTTTCTGGAGTAAACTCACCTTGAAGACCTTAAAATTCTCATCATCTACTTGGTACATGTTTTCAGCAGACTTATAAGTATTGTACCTGCATGCCCTATCCTTTTCCTCTTCTATCAATTTGCATATCTTTGGACAAATCTTCATCGGATGATTTTTTAGTCTTTCTCTATTTTTTTGCATCCTAGTCATAAGATATATTCTTAACTTCTCACACAAAGTTAAGATTGGTTTATCTCTGAAATTTAGGATAGTGCTATTCCATGATTCACACAAATTGTTAAGTAGCAAATCTGTCTTAGGAAATGTACTAAAATATGCCCTACAATAATGTTTAGCATCTCTTGCAGCTAACCAATCAGCAGCCTTAGCATTTATCTCCTTTAACTCCTCCATTTGCCGCTTATATTCTGCTTCTGTTGTTGCTTTACACACTGCCCACAGTTTCTGCTTGAGTACATTCCCACTGAAACCATCCTTTACAAAGTTAGCATGCATGTGCCTAACACAGAATCTATGCTCCATTCCCGGAAACAATTCTTCAACAGCAGGTATCAATCCCTTTTGCTTGTCTGAAATCAATGTCCAAGCATGAGGGTTACTTGAAATATTAAGATCACTGTCCAATCGTTTCAAGAACCATAACCAACTGTCCTTCAATTCCCCTTCAACAATGGCAAATGCTATAGGGAACAAGCTGTTATCTCCATCAACACCTACAGCACTCAAAAGTTGCCCTCCCTTCTGACAACCCTTAAGATGACAACCATCTAACCCAAAGAAAGGTCTACATCCTCTCAAGAACCCTTCTTTGCAGGCTGCAAAGCAAATATAGAGTCTCAGAAACCTAGGTCTTCCATTGACAGTAAACTCACTATCAAGTTTCATCTTCACAGAAGTTCCCGGATTGCTTCTTTTCAATTCCTCACAGTAATCATTGAGTAAGTTGAATTGTTCTGAAACATCACCTTCCAGTTGCTTAAGAGCCTTTTGTTTAGCCCTATATGCCTGGTGTTTACTGACTTGACATTTCAAATTTGCCTTCACATGTTCTTGAAACTGTATTCTACCCCATTCTGTATTAAGTTTAATTTCATCCTTGTACATTTTGGCTAGAAAACCAGATTTCACAGTTCTATTTTCATCTTGATCCCCACATGTGTGTTCTGGAATGTATGTTTTAACCTGAAATGGACTTTTTGGATTGCTTCTTGAGGCAAAAATTGTCCAGTTGCATATGTCATTGTGTCTACAAACAACCCTCACTCTACTGCTTTCATTCTTTTTAAAGTGGATATCTTTTCTCCTAGTTGCCTCATAATATTTAACAGCCCATTTAAACTCATCTGATGTTTTGAAAATCATTCCAATCTCAAACTTAAAGCCTTCTTTTTTCAAGTTCCTTTCTTCAAAAACATTCTGTACACCACTGTCTCCCCCATCAGAATCTTCAGAATTCTCTAAACTCTTAAACACCTCTTCAGACAATTGGCACTCTACTTCTTGTACTTCACCCCCTTCCAGTCCAACAGCAGGATTGACCTGCTTAGAACTAGCCCCAGTGTCCATAAGATTAGGGTCTTCCTCACCTTGATCTTCACCTTCAACCTCATCCTCATTTTCAGAACTCTGGTTTATTCCATCATAGAGTAGGCAATCATCTCCCAATTCTCTAGATATGTCTACCTCGTAATCCCATTGGTCATCAAATAAATGTTCAACAAATATTTCTACCTCCTTGTTGGGTGGAACCTCTTCAACTAAACTAACTATGTCTGCATCATTCAGTAGAGGCTTAAGATCAGTTTTTGTTGGCTTCTTCCTACCCTTACCCTTAACCTTAACCAGAGCCCAAAATTGCACCTTTTTATCAGCATACCTCAATTGTTTCACCATTCTCCTTAAATCTAGTATACTGCCCTCATCACAGTTGAAATGGTCAAAGAACTCAACTCCACCATCCCTATAACCAACAGTTGGATGCCATACTAAATCCCCACCAATATGGAGTTTTATGCTAAAGACAGAGGATTCTTCACCAACATCTATACAATGCAGTAAAACAATTAATTGCAGTGAAAATGGTCTACTTCATAGGTCCCAACAACACAGAATAAATGTAGGCACTTTTAGATGCACTTTGGGAAACTAACACAAAATACATATATTCAATTCCAGGCAAGTAAAAATGGTCCCCATATGCTTTCCCCTTTTTCGCTTTTTCTATTACAGTACATGTGTTTCCTTGGTCCCCACCAAACATTAACATAGAACACAACAAAATGCACATGTTAACATCAATAGTAAGACAAAATACATTGCCCAGTTAAATGTGCGAACAACAAAACAAACAAGCAGTTAGAATTAAAAAAAATTAGGGTTGAAAACTTACAAGTAGGAGTGCTGTTTAACCCATTAATTCTCCTACTAGTCATTGCGGATGGCGTCCTTAATAGCGTATTCTATTCGAAGTGGTGGAAAGGTGTCAATGGCGGAGGTTAGGGTTCTTCATGTGTGGTGGCGGAAATGGCTGAGAATGGCGGAGGAACGGGCTGAGAATGATTAAGTAAAACCAATGATGTGTGAAATTCTATCCTTACCCTTGATTTAAACGGTGTCAAACGGCCATAGTCACAGAAGGACCAAAACTGCTTAGTGGACGAATAATTGAGGGACCAATTATGTCCAAATTGGGAATTAGGGATGACATTGCAGAATTGACATTAATTGAGGGACCAAAAGTGCGATTCCCCCAATTCAAAAAATATTAATGCTATGTACTACATGTCATGGATTAGTCACTTCAACTCCTACACATACCCAAACTCTTCAAAATTTAACAGTCCCTCTTAGTTATATTACAGAAATTTCGGCATGAATTTTTCTGAAAAAATTTCACATTTAAAATATTACCAAAAATTTTATAAAAATAGAGAATTAAAATCTAAAAAATGGTTAGACACTGAAGGGAAAAATTATGATCCAAATTCTTCTTTTTATAAAACAATGAAAAACACTTATGAATCTCATAAAAACATTTTAGAAGAAATTGAAAATTGTATAGCAAAGCTAATCTGTTAATATGAATCAGTCAAATGAAATAATTTTAAAACAAATTGATTATTTAAAAACTATGATGGAACAGCAAGAAAAGAAAATTTCAAATTTACTAAAACTAATTGAAAATTTTAATACAAAATTTGACTTAGTAATAAGAGAAAAACAAATAATTGAAAATCCAAAATTAATTGAAATAAATAATTCCATAGATTTGCTATCTAAAAAATGTTCTAATATTCATATTTCTTCACAAATTAAATCCAAAACAAAAAACTTTTTGACATACAATTTAGAGGAAATCAAGAAAAATTTAAATAAATAATGAATCATTTTTCGGGAAGGTCAAGAACATTAACTTCAGAAGAACCTAGTTCTTCTAGAATTAGCACACTAAACCAAACTAACAGTCCCTCTTATATTTATATATATATATATATATATATATATATATATATATATATATATATATATATATATATATATATATATATATATGCACAACTTCTATTAAGACTAATTTACCCCTAACGGTATATTTCTAATATTTTAAAGCATTTGTCTCCTAAATCCGTGTGAGTTGCTCCTTTTAATCTCAATCGTGCATCATTCTGATTTAATGGTCTAGATTTGTCCTCACGTTCTCACATAAAAAACATCTTGGAGACAAAGTTGGCGGTTGCTGAGCAGGAGGCGAAGGAAGCCAAGGAGAAGATGACCGATCCCCACAGCCTCTCGGCCTTCATTTGCATGGATCGGGGCACCACTGAGTCCTTTTTTTGGTCCTTCCTGAAGACCATGGTCGGCGAGGAGCTAGTGTGGTCCTATGGTAAGTGGGTCTTCACCAACGGTCAGCGGGCCATGCACCAAGAGGTTCGCGATACTCTAACTGAGTTCCTCGATAACGATGACTTGGCCACCGTCCTAGGTCTCCTGCCCGAGGAGGTCGCCGTCCCGGGGCCCGCGCCATACACTGAGCTGGTCTCCGCCGACCTAGCTCCCCAAGCTAAGACAGAGAAGGAACGAGCCCCCATGGAGGGTAAGTGGGCTCGATCAGGATCCCGACCCTGCACTGTGTCAGGACATTTTTTTGAAAAACTTTGGATGTACTCCGGGAGCTCGGCCCCGCTTGTGCCGAGCATAATATTTTGTTTCTATAAAATTGTGTTTTTGCTCGTGCTTATGTTAGTCATGTTTTCTGACTTTTTAAAGCAACGTAGATCGGTTCGATCAAACGATATGGACCTCTAGCCGATCCTCTCGAGTCGCAGCGGGAACGTCTCCCACGTGGACCATTACTCGGCCCGACATGTCGTTATTTGAGCAACTCGGCCCTGGCGTTTATCCGATTGGGCTCGGCGGTCTCGTGACCGTAATTTCACTTTGCAGCCTTAGCCGAGGCGTTTCCCCCTAATGGCCGTTTTATCTATTCCGGTCGAGCGACCGTTATCTTTTATCGGCCTTCCAATCATGACCGATGGCACTTTCCCTCGCCGGTCTAGAGACCGCGATTTTCTTCGATATTCCAAACGTAACCGAGGACGCTATCCCACGCCGGTCCGGAGACCATTGTTTTCCCAACCTTGTGGTCGCTATCGAGGACACACACACGCACACACAAATGTGATTAATATATTTTGTTTATAAAAATAGTTAATTCTACCAGATGTCTCTTGTTTTTGGTGAAAATTCCAAATTTAGTCTCAGACTATCGTTTTTGCCATTTAACATCTCAGACTATTATTTTTTGGACACTTTTAGTCTTTCTCATGATTTTTTCTATTTTTAGTAAGAACATTTTATTCTCTTCATATTTTTCTTATGTTATTTTTTCGGTTTCAACCATTTTATTGGGTTTATGATGTTATTAAAAATCAATTGAAAAATATGATTACTAAAAATAAGAGGTTACCTAAAGTTCTAAATCAATTAAACCGATTGAAACCAAAAAAATAACAAAAGAAAAATATGAAAAAATAAAAATGCCCTTACTATAAATAGAAAAAAATCATGAAAAGAACTAAAATTGTCTAAAAAATAATAGTGTGAGATGTTAATTGTCAAAAACGATAATCTAAGACTAAATTTGAAATTGTCATCAAAAACAAAAAAACCTCTATTAAAATTAACTCTTACAAAAATCATTATTATCATATAGTCATTTCTCTATATATATAGTTCACCCATAAAAGACTTTATATGCTCAGTAGGGCGACATACATAGATGTGCTTTTTTCTTTCATCTTTTGGCACCTACACTATAAATATCAGTTTTGTGGTCAAAGTGTTGACTTTGAATCCCACCAATTACGTGCATCACAATCCAATCCGTCACAGAAGAACAAAAATACGAAGTGAGGAAGACTTGGTAAAACCCCGCCCATATAAAGCGAAATCTAATGATGGACTGGATCGAGTACGTCATTTCTGTCTAGGGGTGTAAACGAGTCGAGCCGAGCTCGAGCCTGGAGAGACTTGAGCTTGAGCTCGTTAATGGAGGCTTGGCTCGAGTTCGAGTTCGAGCTCGATCGAGCTATAGAATTGATGCTCGAGCTCGAGCTCGGTAATTTTCGAGCTGCTCGAGCTCGAGCAGCTCGATTGTTCGAGTTCGAACTCGATTTCGAGTTTGAGCTCGATTTTGACATTGAATTTGACCTATTTAATACATTTAATATAAATTTCAAACTATTTTCTTTTATCCATTCATAAATAATAGAAATCTTTTAGGGATTTTGAATTTAAAATTTTAATTTCTAATTGTTATTTTTATATATTATATTATATTATATTATATTATATTATGTATTATATATATAATATATATTATATAGATCGCGAGCAGCTCGACGAGCCACGAGTCTAGACTATCTAGGCTCAGCTCGAGCTCGATTACTAAATGAACTGCTCGAGCTCGGCTCAAGCCCGATTTTGACCGAGCTCGAGCTGAACTTTGACCGAGCCGCTCGCAAGCGGCTCGGCTCATTTACACCCCTATTTGTGTCAATTGCATTCTCATCCATCAATGCTATATGCCTACTTAACCTTACATTGTCTCTCTCGTTTGATATATCTAATTTAATTATTAAAATTTGACTATTTATTTACAATTTTATTTTTATAGTATTAATATATAAAATTTATATATTTATAAATTATATTAAAAATAGTATTAAACGAAAATGTATACTTTAAAAATATTTAAAATTAAACGAAGAAAAAACAATTAGTTTGGCTGATAGACAAATATATATATATATATATATATATATATATATATATATATATATATATATATATATACTTATTCATGCATGTGTGTTATTGTTGATTAGTTCTCAAATCTTATTATGTTATATTAACTTAATCCTTAAATTTAAATTATGCTTACACGTGCTTATTATGCGTATAAATATCTTGTTTTGACCTTTTTAAAGTTTCGGAAACAAATTATTAATATTGTAAAATAATGTCTGGAGTTCAATTAATATAATTCTAACCTAAAAAATTCAAATTATATATAAGGGTCCGTTTGGAAGACTGGAAAATGATTTCTGAAAAATGAGTGATTTTCCAGAAAACATTTTCCTTTCTCGTATTTGGTTGCATTTTGGAAAACTGTCTTGGTGTGTTCAGGTCATTTTCTGAAAAATGTGTAGAATTATATAATTAAATATTTTACATTCAAAAAAAATATAATTAAATATTTTAATTATTTTATTTAGAATATTACAAAATGTATAATAATATATAATGATATAATAACAATTTAAAATATAAAAAATAACTAATAAGATATCAAAATAACTCACCAAAGTCTTGTAATTCAAAACAATAACAACAACAACAACAACAATAATAATAATAAGAATAAGTGGTATAGTAGTGGTGGTATGGTGGTGGTAGAGGTGGTATAGTGATAGTGGTAGTGGTGTTATTCGTTATATAATAATAATAATAATAATAATAATAATAATAATAATAATAATAATAATAATAATAATAATAATAATAACCGGTGGTGGTATGACGGTGGTAGCAGACGGTGGTGGTGGTGGTGATTGCGGTGGTGATGGTGGTAGTGAGGTGGTGGTTATATGGTGTTGATGGTGTTGGTGGTGGTAGTGGTGGTGGTGTGGTATTAGTGTAAAAGTTGGAAAATGACTTCCCAAAAAAAAAGAGGAAGTCATTTTCCTCCAAATCAAGTATATTTTCCAAATTCAACGAAAAACATTTTCTGTTGGCTTGATTTTCCAGGCACATCCACTGGAAACCCGGAAAATGATTTCAAGAAATCATTTTTAGGGTTCCAAACACACCCTAAATGTCCAAAAGACTTACAGTTTAAAAGAACAAAGAAAAAGAAAAAGGAAAAAAATGT